TCACTTATGAGTATGGTCTGTAGTTGCCTCCATTTACCTATAAAAGCCTCAAGTTTATCTTTCTTTATAGCTGAGTAATACTGCATTGTATAAAAGACCACATCTTTTTCATCCATTCCTCAGTGGATGGGCATTTGGGTTGTTTCCAAGATTTAGCTATAATAAATTGTGCTGCTATAAACATGGGTGCACATATATTGCTGTGGTGTGATGTTTTCAGTTCTTGTGGGAGGATACCCAGAAGGGAAATGGCTGGGATCTTCCCTTGTTAAGGTTTAGATCTAAAATGACCCCAGAAGTCTCCCAAGTTCAGAGGTGGGGGCTTGTGGAAGATGCCTGGATCGCGGGGTGGGAGTGGGGGGCCTGAAGGCTAGGCCTGGACACCTCTGCGGATGCAGCCATTGATGCGTTCATAGCCAGGGTGCTGTCAGGAGCTAGGTGTTTTCTCATCCTGACTCTCTCTCCCCATTTCCTGGCTGCCAGGGCTGAGCAGCTTTCTTCTGCCATGCCTTCTGATGACATCATTTTTTTTAAAGTTTATTGAATAATGCAATATAAGAAGCCAATATAACAAGGGATGTAGCTCAGCAGCACAGCACCTGCCTGAGTTTGATTCCCAGTACCAGAAAAAAAAAGAAGAAAAAGCCAAGACCAAACACATATCTGTTATGGTTTGTGTCTGCATGTCCCCTCAAAGCCTCATGCAGTCATGGGGTGGGCTTCTGCTCTAGATTTTTGATTGATCCATAGTCGAATGCTAGGATTATGGATGTGAGTGCTACACCTGCCCTAGGCTGGATAGTTTGCATACAGTGTAAGGGAGGGAAAGAGGCTGCCTGCCGCCTGCTCTTGTTGCCTTTGCTGTTTTCTGATGCCATGAACTTTTGCCCTCTGCCACGTGCCACTCTGCCTTGGAGCCAGCCAAGTATGGCCTGAAATCTCCGCAAACTGTGAGCTAAATAAACCTTTCCTTCCTTAATTTTGGATGTTGAGTATTTTGACTCAGCAACAAGAGAGAAGTAACTAAGACATATCTAAACACTACAACCACTTCTCTTACTACACAGGCCAAAACAGCAGAGGTATTTATTACCTATTTAATCTAAGCATTTTGCTAATCTGATTCTGTTGCCATAGTTCCTATTTTGTCAAGAAATGTAAATTACTTGATATGACTCATGATTTTTAAAAAATTTACAAAGCTGTATTTTTGTCACCAAAATAATACATTTAAAAGTATTTGTAAAGAGGAATGTCCTGGGGCTGGGATCCTGGGCAGACATTTCCCATGGGCACCAAGGGGTACTGGTTGCATCACACCATTTCTGCCTTGGAACCAATGAACCATGGTCTGAACCTCCTGAGTCATGAGCCAAACAACCTCTCCTGCTTTAGGTTGAGGGTGTTAGATATTTTGTCGCAGTGACAGGAAAATGACTAATACATTGTACTTGTTTTATAAGTCAATTTGCACACTTTGTAATTACAAATTTCAGTTAATACCTTTGTTATCAAACTCAAGCTGTTCCAAATTTGTGTCTGAACACCAAAAAGTTTGAGAACTGAACATATTTTTCCCATAAGAAATAATGGAAAACCAAATAATTGTTTCTGAGGCCCCAAATTTATACTTATAAATTCATTTTTCCAGGACTCTTAACACATTTTGCAATGATTTCTTTCTTTAGTTCTATTGTGGTTCTCATCATTTTCCTCTTGGCTTTACTGCTAGTATCACTTTCTTTGGAGCCATGGTTACAATATTTTAAGCAAGCAAAGAACAAAAAGAAAGCTCAGTGACAAATGTTTTATCACTAACACAAGCACTATGTGTTGTCTGGGTGAAAATGGAGGTTAGACTGATGGGTCACTGTCTTAGTTACTTTCTCTCATTGCTAAGACAAAATAACCTGACACCCAGAATTAAGGACAGAAAGGTTTATTTAGCTCACAGTTTGTGGAGGTTTTAGTCCATACTCAGCTGGCTCCAAGGCAGAGTGGCACATGGCAGAGGGCAACAGTTTATGCCAGTGGAAAACAGCAAAAGCAGCAAAAGCAAAAAGGAAGGAGCAGCAGTAAGAAGAGCAACCCTCTTTCCCTCCCTTATACTGTATGCAAGCTACCCACCCTACTGTGGGTGTAGCACTCACACCTATAATCCCAGCATTGGACCAAGAATCAATCATAAACTCTAGAATCCCACTCCACGACTGCATGAGGCTCTGGGGGGACATTGAGACCCAAACCATAATAGTCACCCCTTTGTGTTCACAGCGAGATGAGATTCTCTTGCCCCATACAGGTTTTTCAAGTTGGATTTTCAATTTTACTGTCGACAAAATTACCAACACCGAGCAGAATTTTTTTAAACTGTGCTGTTTGAGCAGTGGAATGTTCAAACTGTGGAAAATTCTACATCGGAGGTATCACTGTGTACTCATCTCTTAGTATTCAGGGAAGATGGGTCCCAGGACACTGTGAATACTAACATCTGTGGATGCTCAAGTCCCTTATATGCAATGACATAGAATTTTCATATACCCTATGCACAACCTCTCAGATACTTTAAATCACCTCAGGATGGCTTGTGACACCTCATACAACACACATGCTATGTAATAGCTGTTACACTGTTCTAAGGATAGTGATGAGAACAAAGAGTGTGATGTTCCACACAGGTGTAGTTTTCTTTCAGATATTTTCCATCTCTGGTTGGTTGAATCTGACAATATGGAGGGCTGACTATACTTACATATTTCAACTTATAGCACAGATATAAAATTTAGCTCTCTCCCCTCTGCCATGTATTCAAGAAAAACAAAGGAAATAAGTAATAAAAACCTTTACAATCTGTAAAGATAATGCCCAGAGGCTGCTGTTATAGTTTGTGTTTGGATGTCTTCTCAAAGCTTCCTGTGGTCATAGGTAGGGTTTTTCCGAGGTGGTTAGAGTGTGTGATGGATTTATGGTACAATGCTGGGATTAGGGTGTGTGATTTCTAAATCAGTCCACTGATTGGCTTGGCACTGCCCTAATCCCAGTAGCCCAGACAGAGTATAAAAGAGGCAGAAAGATATTGTTAAGGTCTCTCATTGTTTTTGCCATCTTCCACCACCAGGAATGGTTGCCCCTCAGCCACGTGCCACTCTGCCTTGGAGCCAGCTGATTACGGACTGAAACCTCTACAAAGTGTGAGCTAAATAAACCTTTCCTCACTTAACTTGGGTGTCAGATATTTTGTCTCAACAATGAGAGAAAAGTAACTAACACAGTTGCCCTGACCTTCTTCTAAGGCAATGTCATGTCAGAGCTTCAAATATAACACAGAAATTCAGGTTGAAAATATCATTAGGCCCTAAATGCTCCAAACATTTTACTAGTGCCTTGGCTTACAAAGAAATTCTATACGTATCTCTGTACTGTTGAACCTGCAAGTCTTGTAAGGATGGCTGTTATTTTAATGCCATTTTAGTGCTGAGAAGAATGGCCTTCCACAGAGTTGCAAAGAAGTTACTGGCGGCACTAGAGGGTCAGTCAAGTCGACTGCCCTTCCTTGTACCTGCTCCGTTACTGTTACTTCACGGGAGGTGGCAGCCCGGATTCCTCCTCCTCTAATTCCTCATGACAGGGTGGTGAACTGTCTAGGACAATTGACATGTAAGTCTCTCTGGGGGTGAAAGAGAAACCAAAACAGTGACTTTCATTTTGTTTGCTACAAAATCGACAGGGATCATACTGAGTAAAGGGAACAATTGCAACGGGATGAGCATGGGCCGCACAGCTGTTTGGGGGCCCCAGCTTCCAGCTGGTCAGAGGCTCACCGTCAGGCCTAGTGGGGCAGGCGGAGGTGACGTCAGTGGCTGCCATCATCTGCAGCAGCGTCCGAGGTGCTCTGGCATCCCACTGCCTCCTGTTTTCCGCAGCTGCAGCGGCCCGAGTGAACAGCTCTGTGCATAAGAAGTAAGTCCTTAGCTTAACAGCAGCCACAGCGTGACCCACTGCACCGAACAGGCCAGCAGCTGGTATGCAAACCCCAGAAACTGCCTCTCTCCTTTTAACAGAAACAGGAAGTTACAAGACTGCAATTACAAGTGGGTTTAGAACTGCTTCCCTCTTATTATTAACATCTGATTGACTGGTCAGTTTAAGTGCTAAGGAAATACTAGTGTCAAGAATGAACAAATTTGCCAGGTCTGGTGGTGCACGCCTGCAATCCCAGCACTCAGGAGGCTGAGGCAGGAGGATCACTGCAAGTTCAAGACCAGCCTGGGCTACAAAGTGAGCTCAAGGCCAGCTTGAACTGCATAGTGAGACCTTATCTCAAAAAGACAAAAAAAAAAAAAAAAAAAAAACCAAATTCACTGCGCACATATGAGAGCTCTAACTTCAGGCAGTTTTCACAGGATGCAATTTATTCTGTTTTCTTAATTCAAAAAATCACTTATAATAGCTTTTTCTTTATTGCTGTGTTTTCCCTAGAGGATATTTGAAGATCAGATAAGTAGAAGAAAATAAAAATTACTCATAATCTCACTGCCCAAAGGCCAGTGAAATATCAAAAATTTCTCCCTTCATATCATTTTTGCATTTTTAATAAAAAAATTGAGCCCTACACAACATAACTTTTCATTACTTGCTTTTTCCAGTCAGCTACACGTGTTACACGGGTTATTACATATTCTTCTATGCTATCACTTTAAAGCAAACATGGTATTTTTTCTTGTAAATATATTATAAATTAATTTTTGCTGGCTTTCTTTGCTAGCAATTTTTCACTGTTATAAATAATACGATAATGACTGATTATTTACCCTACATAAACTATTGAAAATGACAGCTCGTATTACTTGCTTTCCCAAAGCTTTCATTAATGTTGATACTGTGATTTTTTTGTATGTATTCTGAATAGCTATTTATTCCCCCAATTATTACCTGTTCTCTTTCTCTTCATCTTTTTAAAAATAATTGTTACTGCTGTATGCCAACGAGATATAATGATTATATCTATATCGGGGAGTGTACACATCGCATCTTAATCATCTTTACTGCCCTCCTCCCAGCTCTCTCCTCTGCCCCCACCGCGAGACCCCCTTCCGTCTCCACAGTCCACCTCCCTGTTGTCTATCCCTTCTCGCGCTGCCCTGGCTCCCGCACTGGTCTGTCCCACCTGGATTAGGCCCCCTGCAGCCAGCGGATCCCCCTCAGTCACAAACACCACTCAGCACCCTTGACAGAAGGGCATCGCTGCCGCGGGCGAGGCCCGGCCCACGGCGTGCCAGCCGCGAGGAGTGGGGCGCTGCCTGGGCCGCAGCGGCTGGCCTAGCACGCGCGTGCCGCCTTCCCTGCGCTCATCGCTCTGCGGTGCTCGGAGCGACCACGTTTCCTCCGCCCGCAGGTTTCCTATCATGAGCATAGTTTGTGAGGCCCTCCATGAGATGCCTGTTGGATTAAGGTACTTCCAGATGGAAATGAGGCAAACGGTGCTCTGGAAAGGGGAAACCGAGTCAAGCCAGGCGTGCAAAGGCCCACGAGGCTCTAAGGGAAGCCGGGCGCTCCGGCTGGGCGCACCCCCGCTGCTGAAGGGGAAGGGGGCGCTTCACCCGGAAGCGGGCAGGGCGGGTCAGCAGGGTCAGGGCCCGCAGCCTTAGGTGCGGGGGACTTCACCCCACAGGCGTTATCTGCCCCTAAAAAATATTCCGAGCAGGATAGTAAGATGAATGTGGCAGCCAGGTCGAGAATGAAGAAGAGAACAAAGGGGAACACGAGAGGAAAGCACAACACAGGGCGAGGGCGAGCGGCTTCTGCCCTCGTCCTAGCCCAGCGTGCCGCTACAGCTGCTCTCCCGCACCCCGCGGAGGAAGCTCAGACCGGAGCGCGGGCGCAACCGCGGGTGCCCGGGGCCGCACAGCAGCGCCGCGGGGACTCCAGCTCCCTCTGCCCCGCAGCCCGCGCGCAGCCTCCAAGAGTCCAGAGCCCGCTCAGCACAAGCTGCCGCTCCGTGATGGCGCTGAGCAGGACCAGGGTCACCGGGTCTCAGGGCGGGGAGCCGAACCTGTCCAAGGCTTTCCAGCGGCTGCGGAGGACGGCCGAGGGGTGGCGCTCCGGCGAGCAGCCGAGCCGCAGGGCCGGATGAGATGGGAGTGAAACGCTGCCTTCTGCCCGCCTCCAAGGACACGCACCTGCTCGCGGGCCAGGCAGCTTTTCAGAGGCTTTCCCTAGGTCGTCCTCACGCTCCTTGAGGCATTCGTGCTCCTTAAGCTTCATGCCGTCCTCACACGTCAGGGTTTCATTTAGTATGTCTGCTGTCTAAAGCAGTTGCACAGTATGTCATGAGAAGCAAGCCATGCTTGGGGGGAGGATTAAAACATTTTTGTGTGTTTCCAGTAATGCTAATTAACATGCTCTATGCTAAGTATTCGATATATGTTTATTGAACAGATCTGCTGTTTTGGATGAGCAGTGTTGAAGATAGACAGCAGTGTGTTCATTTCTTCCCCTTGTCAGTAGCACGACCAGCACTAGTCACAGGACAACATTTGGGGTGGTGGGGGGGAGTTCAGACAGGGTCTCCATCCGTTCCCCAGGCTGGCTTCAAACTCCTGATCCTCCTGCCTCAGCCTCCTGAGGAGCTGGGATTATAGGAATGTACCACCACACCCAGCTAACTTAATTTTATCAAACTTTCTGCCCTTCAATATTTAGTACCGTCCTACAGAATTCTCAAAATGCTCTCTTCCATGTCCTGCACTCAGTGTATAACAGCATTCTAGTTTGGGGGGCATTTTTGTGTTCGAGATGGACTCTCATTATGTTGCCCAGACTAGTGTTGAACTCCTGGGCTCAAGCAATCCTCCTGCCTCAGCCTCTTGAGAGTTAGGACTACAGACACACAATTCAGCTTTCCAGTATTCTTGATTAGATCCATAATCTCGCTCCTAGAACCCCATAATCAGTAATAAAATGTTGGCGGAATAAGAAAGAATGAATGCCCTGGCAGGTAAAGGTTTTTCAGGTCCCTTCTTTCATTCCAGCAAGCCATCCTCAGCACCTCACGTCACAGAAGCCCTGTGATGTAGCACTCCCGAGATCTGCTCGCCCTGATCTCAAGCCCCACAGCACTGGGGCATGCAGATGCCTAATGGATGACCAGAGGGAAGCACTAAACAGCCACTCTAATGAAATAATTTTCTGCTCTTATCAGTTCTAGGGATAGAACCCAGGGCCTCATGCATGCTACACAAGCACACTACCACACCACTGAGCTCTGCCCCAGCCCTCTAACAAAACCGTTTTTGGTTTTTTTTGTGGTTTTTTTTTGGAGACACAGTCTTGCTATGTAGTTCAGGCTGTCCTTGAACTCACTGTGTAGCCCAGGCTGGCCTCAAACTTGAGACAGTCCTCCTGCTTTAGCCTCAAAAGTGCAGGGATTACAGGTGTGTGCCACCACACCCAGCCTAACAAAGTCTTTAAGTAGCAAAATGCTTGTAAAATTATGAAATTATGACATTAAAAGCTTTTGGGTTGGCTGGGGGAGGTTCAGTGGTAGGAGTTAAGCCCAGAGCTTTGCGCTTGCTAAACACATGCTTTACCACTGAGATTTTTAAGTTTTTAATCTTTTGTGTGTGTGTATGGTACTGGAAACTGAACCCAGGACCTTCACAGGGCTACATCCCCAGACCCTTTTTTACTTTTACCTCTGAGAAAGGGTTGCACAAAGTTGCTAAAGTGCCCAGGCTGGAATCCTCCTGTCTCAGCCCCCCAGACTACTGTGATTACAGGTGTGCACCATCATGCCCAGCTTCAATTAAGTTTTAAACTAATAAAGAACGTGGAAGGGCTAGTGCTGTTACATAGTGGTAAATCACTTGCCTAGCATGTCATGTACAAGGTTCAGTTCCAGACAGGGAGGGAGGGAGAATATAGAATACATTAAGTATCAAGTATGATTATTCACACTTAACTTTTAGAAATCGAAAAGGTGAATTCAGAGAAGATAAAATAGAAAAACAAACCAGAATCCAGTTACATTTTACGTACTGGAGAAAAACCAAAAAAAAAAAAAGACTCTAAAGGAACAGTTACATTTTACATTTGTTAGCTGGACTGATAAAAAATGAGATAAAAGATGTTGAACTCAAGCAATGAGATTTGGATTTACCACCCACGTGCATGTATCACCGTGCAAAGAGAATCCAAGTATGCAACTGAGGTCATACCCGCAGACATGCAAGGAGCTCTCAGTAACTCCGCAAGAGCTGAAGTAAATGTGCATGGTGGCTGGTACCTGCTCATTATTTTAAGGTCTGAAAATTAGTTGTTGATTGTGCATCATAGTTGGGCAATGATAAAAAGTAAATATGAGGAAAATTATTTATTTATGAAAGAAAAATAAAATGGAGTCATGCACCTAGAAAATAACCTGGATTTCTTTTTGAAAGGAAGATAAAGCAGGGTGGTGGTACACACCCGTAACTCAAGTACTTCAGAGGCTGAGGCAGGAGGACAGTCACAAGTTAAGGCCAGCCTGGGCTATACAGTGGGACCCTAGCTCAAAAAACAAACAAAAAAGGCCCGGGGGAGACAAAAAGAAAAAAGTATTTGGAAGACTCATTTGAATACCAAAGAGTTTCTAAAAACAGAAATGAGAATTCTTCCTACAGTCCATAGAGCAACTTCATGAAGCTTGAAATCCACTCTTTTCTGTTCCCTACGAACGGATATGCACGCTTGATGACATACCTCTTCCTCTTGGGCAGTGCTTCCATCAGGCATACATTCATCTATATTAATTTCGAATGTTTCCCCTCTCTAGAAGAAAGCAAGGAAACCATCTTAGTTTAGCAAATCAGTAAGAGCCTTAAAATGTATTTTGATACCATATAGATGCACGGTTGTTAGTCTAACATCACAAATAGGACTGTTGGCTATTCTGTAAAACAATAGAGAGGAAAATCAATGAGGAATCCCAGACTGCAAAGTGTAGTCCAACCACCCCACTTTCTGACATGAAGACAAAGACAAAAATGTTTATTACCTTAGCTCTACATCTGTTTTCTGGACTTTTACTTTCCTTTATGGTCTTGAGCCTAATTTTATTGAAGTCTCTTTCAATGTCCTGCGAGTTTAGAGAAAAATACAGTTCTATCACTTAATATCAAGCAATTATATATTTTGAGCAATTATATTTTTGAAACCTCTGAATTTAGAACACTGTATATTTATATGATTGCTAGATTGAGTCTGGTGATTGATTTTAGCATAAAAGCATGCTTTTAGAGGAAAGTTAATAACAATTCACTAAAAACTTAGGCACAGTACTCATCAACTTTAAATGTTCATGCATGGCATTTCAGTGGTTAAAAATTCTCTAATATGGCAAAGCTCATCATTCCAGTGCAGTCCAATCCAAACCATCCCAGCTCAAGAATCTAACCTTTCAAGTCAGGCAAGGTGGTACACACCTGTAATCCCAGCACGCGGGAGGCTGAGGCAGGAGGATCACCATGAGTTTGATGCCACTCTGAACTCCATAGAGAGTTCAAAATTAGCTTTAACTACTTATTGAGACCTTCTCTCAAGAAAACCAAAAGCAGAAAGAAGGAAGGAAGGTAAAAAAG